CGTAGCTTACGTGGCCGATCCCGCTGGTGTCCATAGGATCAGGGTGCCCGCCACGTTTATGCTGGGCTTTCGAAGAGTGAAGCTTCTCCTACTTGGACTTACTCAGAAAATTCCAAGTGATGGTATTAAAAACAGATATAAAATATTAGACAAAATTAAATCTCTCCTTCTGAGCTCAGGAGAAATGTCACACTTCTCAGTGTTGAACTCGGCTTTAAGACTATGGTCACCACCGCAAGTTGCATTCAGACCTACATACTATCGTTATACTATCCTTAGTATTTTATACTTGTGTCTGGCAGCTCTTGAAATTTCCTTATCTCCTGTTTCCAGCTCCCTTGCTTTTTTTACCTCTCAAAAATAAGGGCAACGCAGTGCTGCTTTCTTTCCCCTTCTGCGCAGCACAGCCCGCAGGTACAGCAGCTTTGCATCTGTTCTCCTCCCCAGTTCCTCCACCCATCCCTTCTCTGCTCTCCCTCCTGCATGTTCACTTTCTCTTCTCTCCTCCTCACCTTCTTGTGCATCTCTCCTCAAAACCCCATCTTCCCTCCCGTGCAGACACCCCTTTGCCTCTTCCCAGCATGGTGCCACCTCCTCTTACCTCCAAATACTCCGCACTTTCACCGTCTGGAGTTGTTTACCTCCAAATCCACTCAAGATCCTTTCCAATTTATCTTTGTTTTGAGTTTTATATACATTCTACAACCAGTCAAAGAAAAAAGTTGGTTTTTTTTTTTTTTGAAAGAAAATATAGCATTGGGAAGGCAAGTCTATGGAAGCCTTTCTAAAGCAACTAAAAGGCAGAAAAAAAAAAGTTTCTCTGCTGTATTTGACCCTACAGAAGTCACAACTGTGAAATCTTTTTGATAGCACCGTCTCATACCAAGAAGCATCAGAAAACAGCAGCCAGTCACAGCCCGTTGCTTACGCAGGAGCCGGAGGCTCTCCGCACTGCCCAGGGCAGGGGGTTCTCACCACAGCCACACCGCAGAGGGGACGTACGTCAGCCCCTCATCTGGGGGGACACCGCAGCCTCTGCCACTTGGAGAGACATTTCTTCAGCTACTAGGCAAGCACCCTACCCTCCCTGGTGGCCACGCACTAGAGGGAAGCAGCTCGCCAAGCTGCTCTCCTGCAGGCCATGGTCTCTAGAGGAGCTGGATGAGGAGACACCCGTGCCCCGAAAGCCCAGCTCTGCTGGAGTGGGGGACCCCCTGGCCAGGAACACCCCAGCTGCGGGGCTTCCAGCGGCAGCAGCAAAGCGGCTGCCCGCAAAGGCACCTGCTTTTGCTGGTAATAGACAAGCATGAGGTACTGGGATTTGGCACTGAAGCCCGTGCTCCCATTTTACTCGCTCTCACTCCTCCTGCTTCCTTCCTTCGCATTCGTTCTAGGGCAGCCCTGTAGGAGGATTTTCCTTACACGTTATCGCACCTCCCCACAGAGCCCTAGGAGCAGATACAGGACAGAGGCACCAGGGAGGCACACAGCAGGTGGACAGAAGGAAGTGCTAGAGCTCTGCCTTACCATTGCGCGACACGGGGTGGGGATGGAGACACCTTCCTTCCCCATAATCCTTCAACGGACATGAGAAAGTGTTTCTCGTTTCTTCAGCTAAAACGCACAGCAGAATTTTGGCAGTAGGGAGAGTCACGCAGGGCAGGGCGGTCTCTCCTCGGACGTGGTGCTTGCAGCCCAGCCAGGCGCTCCAGGACCCCAGCCTTGCTCTGCTGGCTCTGCCGTGTGTTGGACTGCGGCTGCTGCTTCCCCCGGATCACCTCCACCACGAGAGCTCCTCGGTGAGGGTCCAAGCTCCAGGGTCTGCGCATCGCCCGCCAAGGCGGTCCCTGCTTTGGCTGACGCACCAGATACTGAAGTAATACAACATTTAAAAAAAAAGTTCAGAAAAATACTTTATCATTCCATTTTGGCTGGCTCCCTTGCCCTAGCTACATTTCGGGAGCAGACAACAGCAGCAACTAAAATGTACCAACCAGTCACGGTCCCGCTGGTCATGGGGAAGGGCAGGGATAGCATGGGTACCAGTAACGCACCCAGCAAAGCTGCCTGGGACAGAGGCGACAGCTCCGTCAGCACAGCAGATGATCCATGTAGGTAAACTCTATCACGTACAAGCATTTTGTCAAGATTAAGATAATATGGTATACCTACCTGCTCTTATTCTCAAAGCCTGCCACCAGTTTTTGACATTTACTGGATAACTGAAGGAAGCTCGTCAAGGCAAAGTGGATCGAGTTACAGAAGTCACGCTGTAACTGGAAAAACGCACGCTACACAGGTGTGCATTTGTCATGTGCACTCTATTCACCCCATGGAAGCAGTAACAAGACAATTTCCCCTCAAAAAGTTAAAAAGGTAAGAGAGGGAGAAACCTTCACTGCTTGCCGAGATCCACAAGTACACAGAGCGCATGCAATGCCCTTCTGCAAACAGCAGAAGAAATAAAGTTCTTGCAAATTATCCTTAACCCACCTTTCACCCAATTTCTGTCAAACAATGCAAAGCCTTAACTCAAACGCATCTTCTCTTACCCAGATGAAGACACGCACGAAATTCAGACAGCTAGTTCTGTGTGGGCAAGAACACAGCAGGGATCAAAGCCGGCTTGTAACAAGCGTCTAAGTTTGGCCTGAACACCATGTTCTTCACCTAAAAGGCAGATAACCTAGTTGTGGGCAACTTACCCCTTAATTTTTAAATGCAGGCTCTCAAATGGCCTCCCAGCTAACATGGACAAGAACCCATTCCAATGAAAGTGAAGAGCAGTTGTCAGAACTGTGAAGACAGCATTTTTACAAAAAACAGCGTAACGAAAATATCAAAGAGCAATTTTATTTAGCTTATTTGGCACAAAACTTACAAGAATCTTTTTGTTCCCTTCTTCAGTTTAGTACAACTAGCAAGGAAAAAAAGGCATACCAATACATTTAATAAGCTGTACAGCAAGTGAAATGTGGAAAGAGGCACCAGAAAGATCTACCAAAAATCAAAGTGCATGAGAAATACCTACTCTGAGCGCCTCACGGTATTGCATTAAGGCACCACTCCTTTAGAAGGTTTACTGAACACGTCAAGTGTGCAACTTCTTGGTTTGGAATGTAAGAGTCCTTCAGCCTGTACCGGAACTGGATACCGCAGCCTCTGAACAGAAAAACACTTCTCCTCCTAAACGTTACGCGGAGAGACCTCTTTCTGCCCAACGTCATCTCTCAGCCACAGAGTCATCAGAGTGACCAGCATTTTACTTCAGAGTTTTAAGCTGTGGTGTACACCAGGCCTACGAATTCTTTACAATGGTTTTATAGAAAAGAAATGCTGCAGAGACAAATGTAACACGGGACGTATCAGTAGCTACGTTACTGATCATTTATCAAAAGAACTTTTAATGACTTCCTGGAGTATCTTTTAGAAAAATCAAAATCCGAGTAGTGTTCTAATCCAGAATAATTAAATACCCATTGCAACAGAACATTACAAAGCTTCCTTTAGGACCAGCAATCAAGTCTGACAAATTCCACAAGACCAAGAACTTGAACGTATGTAGAAAAAGCCCAATATTAGACAGTGGTAAGTGTTTTTCATAATTGGAAACATTTAATGCAAGTACCTATAACTGCAAATCATGTTATACTGGTGTATATATATACAGATATATATACACACACACACACTGAAACATCATTACAAGAGCCAAACAGATACCTTGATTCGTTGTGGATTCCGCACATCACTGCTCTTAAGTACTACAGAAGTTGCACCAGGTTTTTATTTCAGCATCTTCATTAAGAACTATTCTTTTAAGAACCACGCCGCTTCAGTTACACAAAGAGGTACCACAGGCCAGATTCACATCTAGTGTAAACAGGTTCCAAACAACCAAACCGAAGTTGCATCCGCTTCTTGCCAGCTTTGACTTTGGTTTTGCTGCTCAGCTGGATCACCAATCTCCTTTACTTGCAGGAAGAAGTTTGGTAAGAAATCAATGCCCATATCAAAACTTAAGTGGGAACCGGTAAACGCAGAATATTGTATCAAACCGTTGTACAACACCTCTACTGTAGAGAGTTTCAAACATCTCAGGAGCTTGAGACTGCTTAACCTGAACTCTGGAAAAGCACATTTCTCTATGGACATGCAAAGGCATTCAAATATGAACTCTAGGCGTTAACAATATTTCAGTTTTTGTCCTCTTCTGGTGTAGATCTCAAGAACACAACTGTGTGTCCCATTATAAAACCAAAGCACCCTTGAGCATTACAAATTCTAAACTGTGAGGGCTGAAAAGAAGGGCATCTGGAAGTGATCTACGCCTTACAGAGCATGGTGTTTCACAAGTCTCAGACCAGTTCAGTTCATACTTCCTGGGATAACTTTCCCTATACCTTTGCCCCAATACAGAGCTGTAGTTTTCAGTAACTCTTTTACCCCTGAATTATTTGCTACCACATATAAAACATGCCACAGAAGTGGCAGTCAGGGCTAAACATTTAATAACATGTCCTTTTTGTCCTTTGTTAACAATTACAGTCAGCAGAAAGAAAAACTAGTCAGTCAACTCATTTATTTCATGATTTATACGTAAGTCATGTAGCAACTTAACATTGGTGTTTTACATTTGTGCTTCCATTCTCTGGCACTTGGAGGAAGAATTCATTTCCAGATAATCACATCTTGCTGAAGCATTCCTTTGCATTTGTCCAAACTTGAATTCCCTTTAAAAAAAAGTTAAAAAAAATCAATAGGTGGAAATATACTTTGCTTGCAAACCTCATCAACAGACTTTCTTCCACAGAAGACTCTACAAAGAAGTCCCACAGAACTTCACACTCGAGTAAGGCAGAGACCACACTGGAATTGCATCACGCTGCCTATTATGAATCAACGTAACACGTGACTGAGTTAGAGTAGGACAGAATTCGTGGGAGGTTTTACGCCAGTGACTTCCAACCTTCTGTGACCGCAATGTTCCTACTAACTGCGAGTCTGCATCTGATCCCCTGCTGATACGCTACGTACACTAGCCTGGCCTCTCGCAAACGTACCTTTTTGCACACGCTAATCTGCATAACAGCGTAGCTTATAAGTGCCTCCTTCAAGTCATGATTCTTTTGTTCTTTAAACCGTTCAATGTCAGCCCAGGCACTTTTCACGAAGTCTCTGGAATTAAAAGCAATATTTCTGTTAGTTAGTGTTTTACATGTTCCATCCTCAGCTGATCTTCCTCCCTCTGAACCCCCAGCAGAGAGGCTACGTACGACAAAGCGCTCCATCTTTCAGTCAATAAACAAGTTCTGTAGTTACTACGCATCCCACAGTGTCATCATTTTATAACTGGCATTACCACCTTTTTTTTTTTTTTGAGGTTTTTAATCTAGAGAATCAGTTTCACAGGATGTCTTGGGTTGTTTGGTTTGGGGTTTCCTTCCCCCCCCTCCCCCAGCAGCATCACTGCCATAGAACCAGCATCATTCAGAACATACTTTACTCCTCAGATTTCGTTGGAGTAACTAAGTAACTTTACGCCACCATTCAGCACACAACACTGCACATTTCTTTGTCAATTGTCAAGTCAGAATCTTGGTCTTTCCAATGTGAAAACTCACTTGTCATCAGGATTTGAGACACTGAAGTACAACAAACATTTACAATGTAGATTTGACTTAGACGATTCACTCCAGGAATTAATTTTCTTGGTTTGGTCATGTGTCTTCAGGTCTCCTTAACTAAAATGGAGGTAGATTTCTGCAATTCATAGCTTTTTTTTGTGCTGGACTACACATACAAGGCAAGTATTCACTTGAAAATTGCTTCCAGAGCTACAAAAGCAGATCTCCAGTACTTCTGTCAAAATGATTAAGAAATTGCATTTGCTGAGCACCTTGTTGTTTTGAACTATCCATGAACTAGTCTTATCTTTCCAGCTCTGACCCTAACATATTAGGAGATAACCACGTTTACCCCTTGTGTTATACAATGAATGTGTTCTGACACAATCACATCGCTTTAGGAACGTTAGTTCCTATTTTTCATGTTTGCATTCCTGAAGAAAATTTCATTAGAGCACTGAGAAGCAGTTACTCAAACACAACTCACCAGAATTCCTAACCTCTTTCAAACGAGTCCGTTATCCCCCGTACAAGAAGTTGTAGAATATGAGCTCAGGACACGTACACATAAACCAAACTAAATACTAGATTTGAAGCGAAGCAGCTTTTGAGTCTTAGGCTATTCAGCTGCAGACCTACAAGCCCACCTGCTAAACATATTACTAGCTGAACATAAAAGCATGCAAGTCAGCCATTAGAGTGGGCTCAGTAACTGGGAAAGTCATCAGGTTTTACATAAGCCATACACTCAGACCAGAAGCTAACTGCATGTACTGTACTTTATTTCACAACTTGCAGCTGACAGGAGCTTTTATAGACAGCTCATAAACACCAAGAATATATTAAAAACACTTACAAAATGCAAACACCTTCAAGAGCATCCAGTCAAGGACTTCTGCTAAGACAAGCCCTGTGTTTTCTTTGAAGAAGTCAAGCCCATTTACCTGCCCTCCAGATTTTTAGACTTAAGTTGTTCTTCTCCTTCCTGTATCTGCTCTTCTAGAACCTTTATCTTGGCTTCCCTCTGCTCTGGGGTTTCCTGCCCAAAGAGCTTGCTGGTCATTCCTTTCAGGGAGAATGTTCTCACAGTCTACAAAAACACAAAGACATCCTAGGTTTGGGATTCTTAAGCACAGCCACAAGTCATTATGTGATTTTTAACAGCATTTGGGCTTATTCTTATTATTCAGCTGGTTTTTGGCTTTAACTTCCATTTCATGAATGTCCCATTGATAACTAGCTATAGAAGGTATGGTGGCTCACATGAGACCAAGCAAAGTGGGGAGGAAGCAATATTGTGTTCAAACTCTTAAGGCTGGTCTGTGGATTGGACTCTGAGTCATTCCACTGACACAGGTAACCTCTCAGGGCAATTTTCTAACTGAAGTAGGAGAGAACCCCACTCTTGTCTTCTGTATGAGAAAGAAAAGCCGTAAAGCAGTTGCGTATAGAGCGCAAATAGATCCGACAGCAGGATTAAGAATTCTAAACACTTTTTTGAAGCCACCACTTTAGGACAATGTTTTATCATCCACATAGAAGGGACTAGCCACATATCAGTAGTACCCAACTTTCAAAACGCAGAGGAAGCCTTTCAGAATTTTGATATTTAGGACAGAGTTGTTTGTGTTATTCTGCTTAGGTCATATTCCCTGAAACCCTTTGCTTGCTCAGTATTTAATAAAAGTAGTTTGGTACAAACAGCTTATGTCACCAAGAACCACGTTACTTTAAACCTCAGATGCCTACAGCTCATATGATACTGCTTCTCATAAGCATCAGACAGCATGCTAGTGCCACTTAAATGTCATTCGAAGTAACTTGGCTCAAATAGAAAATAAAATAAAAGAGGCATCTTGGAGAAGAAAGTGGAAAGACTCACTCCTGTTGCCAGCTCCTCACACTGCTGTTTCTTAGATGCTAGGTCCTGTGCAGCCATTTCCAAGTCATACTGCATCAGTTCGTGCTTCCTGCAAACTGCCCTGAAAAGTAAGCAATGGAAGATCTGTCACGCAATACTTTGTTTTGCTACGTTTCCCTCCATTTAAACTTTACAAATGGCACCACGCTCTTTTTTTGGCAGGCAGCACATTCAGTTATTTATCGAGCTTGAATTCAACAGCCTTATCACAGAACGCATAACTCCGCAAATGCTGTAGTTAAGCAAGCTTGGATCAAAGTATAAAGAAAGTTATAGCAGCTTTCTGCTCTTCTGCTCCTCTTCTGAGACTCCTTCTGAGACACTTTCAGCAATACGAGCCCTACCACCTACTTAAGGACACCACTGTAAAATATTTTTATTTAAAATCTATTACAGAAAAATCACAGCTATGACAAAAGGTACCTGGAGATGGTACCTGTCACAGCAGCAATGTATCAATCAGAATTCTTCACACTTTTTAAGCAATGAAACAAGAAAGCTGTGCTCCTACATTAAGATAGCACCTTTCATCTGGAAAAGAGGAGTTTCCTCTGACCACCTGCAGTAAAATCCCAATCCTGTGTGGGCTGACGACGCTACATCCGTACTCCACTGCCAGATACACATTTGTCTCCCAGGGGAGGCTACTAGTGCTCTGGGTTCCCACATAGCAGCCATCACACTCACCAGCCCCATTCTCTACAGCACTGCCAAACCCCTCTAAGAGGTTCAGAGCCAGCCCCTGGAGAGCACGACAGCTTTAAGCACCATCTAATAGCATAAAGCAATTTGCTTTTGTATCCATGCTTCTAAAGAAGGACTGCCCTATAAGGGCTAATGTTTAAAAAAAAAAAAACAGTATTTAGATGCACAAAACTGTACAGTAGATGAAAGTTATATAGGGCCCTTTAAAACTTGCTGGAATGTGTAATGGCTGTAGCAGCTCTGTTTGGCCCATCTCATTTGAAAGCTGAAGCTTTCAGCACATTGGGGCAGTATTATACCAGAAGCTAAGGAAAGGATGTACCCAGAGGAATAAACAGCATTACCTTCCACAGTATCCCGATTTTAACATTTCTGTCATTTCACTATTGATCAGCTCAGTTCTAAGTTTTATTGCCACCCACATGACAATCAACTACGAGTAAGCAAAGTAAGAGGTGAGAGCATGGAGATTCCACAACACTGAAATTTCCACTTCTCAGAGAACAGACGAGGATACCAGACTAAACTCAATATCAACACAACGTTAGACGAAAGGCCTACAGCTTCCATTTGAGCTATGCACTTCTGTACACACCGTAGCGCTTCTGCATAGAAGAGATATTCTTTCAGCTGATCCGCATAATGCTCTTCCTCTTCCAGTATGTCATCAATAGAAGCTGCATATCTGGTGAAAAACAGCCATGGTTAAAGTTCCTTAATTTAACCTTTAAGGACTGCACATACAGTAACAAGGGAGGACACCCGTTTGACAGAAACACCAGTCACAAAGTAAAACAGTGAAAGGCACTTCCAAAAGGGGTTTTTCCTTTGTTTTTAGTTAAACTCTGAATCGGATAATATAAACACTCCCGCAGGCCTGTTTCTTTGGTTGTTACTAGAATGAGTC